GATGGCAGGGGGGTGTGGTGGCAGGCAGGCAGGCATGGTGCTGGAGAAGTAGCTGCAAGCTACATCCTGATCTGCATGCAGAGAGAGAGAGACAGACAGACAGACAGAGAGAGACTGGGCCTGTTGTGGACTTTGTAGACCTTATCCCACAGTGGCACACTTCTAACAGGGTCACACCCACTCCAACAAGGTCTTACCTCCTAGTCCTAATCCTTTCACAGTTCCACTGGTAACTAAAGTCAAAATTATATGAGCCTATGGGGCCATTTGTATTCAAACCACCACAGTACCATAAACAACATTAAACATAACCCAGAGCCTAGCCAGATTAACACACTGTCTCCCACAAAATGTCTAATTTCATCAGTCCTGATAATTTTTGTCTAGCTTTCAACAAAAAGCAAAGGCCATGCTAAAAGGCAATAAAAAGCCACAAATCTCAAGAAACAAAGCAAGCATTAAATCTGATCCCAAGCCATTGGCATTATCAGGTAGGAATTAAAATAACTATAGTTTATGCTAAGGACACTACATAGAAATAGATTCATAGACTGCTAAGGAATCATTCCTCTAAGGAAATGCTACAAACAAAAGATGCTGACATGCAGATTCAGAATGCTCCAACAGGCATTATCATTAGTTGTAGTGCAACCAGGAAACAGTGAACAGAGGTCAATAGAAACTTCTAGACTCAAATATAAAGAGAAAAAAGAATTAAAACGGTTGGAGGAGACCATCAGAAGTGGGAACGGAAAAAGGGAGAAGTCCTAAAAGCTCAGAAATTTCTAAAATTAGAGACAGGCACCAAAATGTGGGTCCAGGAAGCTCAGAGAACACCAGGCAAAAAAAAAAAAAAAAAAAAAAAAAAAAATCTGCATTTTGGCATGTCCTCTTCAAATTACAGAAAACCAAAGACAAAGGAAAAATATCTTGAAAGAGTCATAGTTTTAAAAAAAATCTCTATAACATACATCAGAAAGCATGCAAATAAGAATTTGAAGTAATGCCGGGCGGTGGTGGCGCATGCCTTTAATCCCAGCACTCGGGAGGCAGAGCCAGGCGGATCTCTGTGAGTTCGAGGCCAGCCTGGGCTACCAAGTGAGTCCCAGGAAAGGCGCAAAGCTACACAGAGAAACCCTGTCTCGAAAAATCGGAAAAAAAAAAAAAAAAAATTTGAAGTAAAATATTTACAGTGTTGAAAAACAAAAACAAATACACAGATAGACCCCACCAACCTCAGACAATAGAGCCAACAGAATTACCCCTCAGAAATGAAGATGGGGCCAGGCATGGTAGCAGACACCTGGAATACTAGCACTCCAGAGGCCAAGGGCTGGAATTCAAGCCAGCCATGGCTACCTATCAAGACTATCTGAAGAAACAAATAGGTAAAATAAAAACTTTCTCAAACAAACAAAGAAAAAAGGTAGGGAATTTGTGAACATCTTTACATCTATCTTACATGAGCTATTTTAAAATGTTTTTCAGAGGAAAGGAAAATATATGTCAGAATTATGGATGTGCTACATAAGAAAGAAAGCATATTAGAAAAGGGTTGCACGAGGTAAAATGTCACTTTTGTCTTAATATTAAATAACTATTAGAGTAACAATAATCAGGTACCAGGGGTCTGGAGAGATGGCTCAGTGGTTTCCAGCAGCACATGGCAGCTCAGAACTGTCTGTAACTCCAGTCCCAGGGATCCTATGCCCTCTTCTGACTTCTGCCATATTTACTTGTGGGGCACAAACATATCAGGCAAAGCACCCACACACACACAAAACAATGTGTTTTTAATTAATTAATAATCAAGTACTGGATGATTGAAGTGCATGGATATGTAAAGTGAACGACAGCAGTATTGTAATAGTTACAAGGGAAGAGTTGGGTATACTCTGGCATTGACATTGCCTGTTAAAGTGGTATAGTGTATTGTGGAGGGGTAAATAGGTTAGTTGAAAATGTATACTGTGTATGATACAGTAGTCACTTAAAAGAGTTCAAACTGTCAAAGGAAAAACTGAATCATGAAGTAGTTCATGAAAACTGAAGGCTGATGTGACAGCCTGCAGTAAGCCTTAGGCCAAATTCTAAGGGCTGGAAGTCTGTCTCACATGCAAGATACCCCAACTTTCCCAGACCTAAAACCCGCACCCTTCCTCTCAAGTGGCAGGGCAGGACTGCTGGGCCACAAGCAAAAGTGGTTTCTGTCTCCCGTCTCTGTTGACTTGAATCAACTCCAAACCTGATGTACTTCATCAGAACAGGAGTACATCTCGGGGCAAGGGCTGGAGCTCAAGGCTTCTCTCTGCTCCCACCTTGTTTATGCAAAGAGGAGAAACTACTACATATGAGCAAAGGCAATCCTCAGAAACAAAAAAGAAAACTGCATTCTTGGTACAAAACTGCCAGCTTCCGTCAGTTCCTCCAGCTGTTTATAAAATGTGCTCATGGGAGGCATGTCAGCTAAGAAATGAAAAACTACAGACAGGACAAAGGTGGACAAGAAAGAGAAATGAAAACCTGCATCCCTCCTAAAAGGGAAATAGAAAAGTCCAATGTAAAAGAGAAATAAATAAATAAATACATACATACATACATACATAAATGGAGAATATCTGGGCTGAATCCTCTGGTAACATTGCAGAGAAGCTGTGGGATGTGGGACAGACAGCCCACTGAACTGAAGGAAAAATAGGAAAAGAATATTGCCTGCAGGTTTGGTGGGGGGGATGCAGTAAAAAAGAGAGTAGTGAAAAATGGAGGAAGAGGAAGATGATGATTAACAATAAACTGGGTCTAGTTTGGTTTTTTTCTTGTCAATAAAGTATTAAACAGCTCCCTTTAAGGAAAACAAAACCTGCAATGGAAGGCTGTGTAAGGTTGGTTTTGAACTCTCCAGCTTGGGGATAGTTGACACACCCGCAATATGCCTGTAGACATCCCTGTCCTGGTGGTGTTTTCAGTAGTTCCTACCTCAGCTGGTACAGTATGGAGGCTGTAAACGGGAGTGTTTGCATCCTCGGGAGTCTCTGACGTAACTTACACAACATAATTATCCTGGTAGCCAAATACGACTGTGTGACTGAAAAATGGATTGCTGTCTTACTGACATCCTCTGTGCCTTTAAGTAAATACAGTTTTTTAAATTAAAAAACATCAAAGGTGCAAAAAGAGGCCAATCTAGAAGGAAACAAAGGACAAACATGCTGAGGAGAGGAAGTTAGAGACAAGGCAGGTTCTAACCAGTTTTGTCAACAAGCACAGTAAACACAGACAGGCAGAACACGAACACAGCGGCAGGCTTCTTAGAAGGCAGGATGAAAGTGCTTGCCACCATGGACTCTGACCAAGACACTGTTACAGGATAAACTTAGGTCGAAGGAAAGTAGCAACTCACGTTTATTAAGGAATAAAGGATTAAGGGATGGGAAATAGATACATTTAAACTGACTTTTGCCTATATAGAAAATAACAGAAATATCTTTGTGGGCTAAAAACAACTAAAAAAAATCACATAATAAACCCAAAGGGGAATCTGGTAAAAATGGATGCTTAATTTCAAGGATGACAACTAGAGTATGCAGATTACCAATTTTTGTGGGCACAGTGGAGGGTGCAACAAGACACAATGAGAAGTGGAAGGTAGGAGCTGGGAGGCAAGAGGAGGACAAGAGGGGACATGATAAGAGATGCCACATAAGGGAGTCCAAATAAATTCAAATATATCCATAATGTCAGGAAAAATGGAGATGAACTGAATGCTGGAAGCATAATTTTGAAGTGGATTTTTAAACATCCCCCAACTTTATGGTGTTTACAAAAGGACTAAATGAAGACACTGAATAGCTGTAGTAAAAGGATACTTTGCAGTATACGAGATAGCAAACTTCTGCAAAGAGCCATTAGCGAATATCTACAACTTTATAACTTCTGTCACAGCTACTCAGTCTGCCCTCTGGCATCAACAGTCATGGATTACACAGTACCTAGCCCTAAATCTGGAGAATGCATATTAGGGTCTCTGAAAAGTACTGACATTCAGAGATCCTTGTATTAAACTACCCAGCTCTTCCTGCCCCTAACCATTGTTACCACAGCAGTATTTGGAGGAGCACACTTTGAGAAATGTAGCCATCTACAGAAGTTGTAACACCACGAGAGCAATTGACCATGATCAGCCCTTCGTAACACTGAGTATTGGAGAGTAATATGAAAATAAAAAAGTTACCCCAATATTACAATCCAGATTTCATGAGGTATGGCTAGTTCTTAAATGGGCACAGAACCAGATATTTACTCCCTAGAAAGGACTGTATGTAGGGGGTGACAAAGTAAAGATCATCTTTCCTCTTATACTAGAATCATAACATTTTAGTATGCTAACTTTTTTTTTTTTTTTTTTTTTGGTTTTTCGAGACAGGGTTTCTCTGTGTAGCTTTGCGCCTTTCCTGGAACTCACTCTGTAGTCCAGGCTGGCCTCGAACTCACAGAGATCCGCCTGGCTCTGCCTCCCGAGTGCTGGGATTAAAGGCGTGCGCCACCACCGCCCGGCACTAACATGTTTTTAATGGTGCATGCTAAGTTTAAATTTCTAATTAACTAGCAGTATGATACATATGCTTACTATGTAGCTGGTGGGAATAAAAGTTGTTGCTAAAGCCTTCTACTTGGAAACGGAACTAATTGAAAGTGAAGAATACCAGCCAAAGTTAACTAAATCATCAGTTATCATTTAATCTTCAAAAGAGGCTTGTCATCACCAACTCCCATTTTGTAAGATAGAAAACAATTGGCTTATAAGATAGAAAACAAATGACCCCCAGTTCTCAATCACCCTATACTTCCACTTCGCTACAGTCCCCCAGTCCTTTGAAAATGCATGGATTTTAGAACGCATTAAAAGTCCATTGTAACAACGAAGTATGCATGAAATGTCCTACTTGGTGCGTGATGTTACAGCGAGGAAATTCTTTAACCGACTTCATCTTACCTTTTAGTTCCTAAGGAAGGGCTGAAGAGCCAGGAGTTATTTGATGAGATTCGAATGACCTATATCAAAGAGCTTGGGAAAGCCATTGTCAAAAGGGAAGGAAACTCCAGTCAGAACTGGCAGCGGTTTTATCAACTGACAAAACTTTTGGACTCCATGCATGATGTAAGTATCAAACACAAAGCCAAAACAACAACAAAAAGAAAACCATAGGCTGGGTGTGGTACACATGCCTTTAATCATAGCACAGGCTGAGGTAGAGGCAAGTGGATCTCTATGAGCTCCAGGACAGTCAGAGCTGTCTAAGAGAGATCCTGTCTCAAAAACACAGAGACAGAGACAGAGAGAAACATAAGAATCTTGTGGGACATAAGATATGTTTTAATTAGTACATATTTTATATATATATATATACATATATATACACACATATATATATATATTATGTAATTATATACCAACAAGTCATTCCCCCTCCCTCAGTTTATATATTTTAGTGATCATTCAAGTTAAATTTGTAGACTTCAATTCTGTACACATTTCTCTTAAGTCTTACTATTCTAGTCATTTCCATGAAAATACCATGTTATCACAGTTTAATAGTCCTACTTTTTTTTTTTAGTAGATTTCCCTGTTCTACACAAAAGAGCTGTTAAATTACACTCGTTTCATTTCCCGTATTTCAGTACTAGTCCAGGCTGGCCTCAAACTCACAGCCTTCCCTGCTCCTGCTCCTCAGTCTGCTTAAGTGCTGGGATTCCAGACATGCCAGGCTTTCATTCTGCACACGGTCGAAGAAATTTAAAATGTCTTTGTACTTAAGTGCTCGTTTTATTTCAATAAGTTTTCTTCTCTGGGAATTCCAATAAATACTGATATATTTTAGATCAAATTTTAAAAAAAGGCCAACAGAACATGAACAGAGTCTGCAACAGGTCTTCTGCATATGTATTATGGTTTCCAGTTTAGTGTTTTTTATGGGATTCCTGAGTGTGTGAACGAGTGGGTCCCTGAATCTTATTCCTTCTCTTGGGCTCTTTGTCTTGTTCAACTCCAATGTGCTAACTTTTGTTTTATTTTATTATATTTTATTTTGTCATGTTTGGTTGTTATCTCTTAGAAGCCTGTTCTTTTCTAATGAGAGACAGAAAGGGAGTAGATTCAGGGAGGAGGGGAGAGGAGGGGAGGAAGAACTAGGAGGAACAGAGGAAGGGGAAACTGTATGACAAAAGAATCGACTTTCAATAAAAGGCGGGGAAGGAGAGGCAACAGATACAAGCCACTCACACTGCTGTGTTTTCAAGCCTCATTGTACTGTGTCTTCTCTTGCAGGTGGTTGAGAACCTCCTTAGCTACTGCTTCCAAACATTTTTGGATAAGTCCATGAGTATTGAATTCCCAGAGATGTTAGCTGAAATCATCACTAATCAGATACCAAAATATACGAATGGAAACATCAAAAAGCTTCTGTTTCATCAAAAATGACTGCCTTACTAAGAAAGGTTGCCTTAAGAAAGTTGAATTTATAGCTTTTACTGTACAAACTTATCAACTGGTCTTGTAGATGTTTTGTTGTTCTTTTTGGTTTTGTCTTGTTTTGTTTTAAATACGCACTACATGTGGTTTCTAGAGGGCCAAGACTTGGCAACAGAAGCAGTTGAGCCATCACTTGGAGGTGATGGGAAGCAGACAGTGAAGTGTATTGGTTGGTGTATCACAGAAACTAAAAACAGTTGTGTGGAGGCATGTCCACTATCTCCACTCTCGGTGAAGGACCGCACCCAAACCACCAGTGCCCAAAGTCCATGTGGTCAGCTTTCTGCTCAGACTTTCAGTTGGCTGGATAAAACTTCTAGACTTTCTGTTGGTGTATTTTTCCCATGTATAGTTAATATAGCATTTTTGATTTATGCATGGAAACCTGAAAAAAGTTTACAAGTGTATATCAGAAAAGGGAAGTTGTGCCTTTTATAGCTATTACTGTCTGGTTTTAACAATTTCCTTTATATTCAGTGAACTATGCTTGCTCGTTTTTTCTTAAATAATTTTTGTATTCAAGTTATTGTACAGCTGTTTAAGATGGGCAGCTAGTTCATAGCTTTCCTAAACTCTAAACATTAATCTTCTGTGTGAAAATGGGTTGGTGCTTCTACCCTGATGGCACTTAGCTATCAGAAGACCACAAAAATTGACTCAGATCTCCAGTATTCCTGTCAAAAGCTATTATTTTGTATATATCTGCTTCCATGGAGAATTAGATAGGTTGTGCAGATTACCGTCCTAACTGGTGTAGAGCACCTACCTAGTCAGTGACCCTCTGGGTAAACTGTGGATGACGGTCACAAAAGACTGATTGTAAGACAGCAACTACCAAAAGGCCCAGTTTGCACCTAATGCTCCATCTCTACAAGGGTGAGATGGCAACAAAGTTTATAACCAACTCTTTCAGGACCTTCTGGAGTGGTTTGTGTAACAGCTTCAAATTTATGATTCCAGATCATGGGACAAAGCGGAGAGATTTTTTTTTAAATCAGCCCAAGTTACTTCTCTCATTAAACTTTACCCCCAAGCTAATCTCTAATACATCAAGAATGGCTAGACACCCATTTTCACATCCCCACCTGTCACCAATTGGTCTAGCTTTCCTGGTGGTACAGGAAATCAGCTACTGATTTTTGTTATTTAGAACTGAATGTCAGGCATCCATGTTTGTCCAACTACACATCCCTCCATGTGCCATAGCATTTAACAGAGGTCTTGTGAACTTCTTCACATTGAGAATTCTCATTTTAAACAACAGAAGCTGTAGTAGCCTTTTCTGTGTGCACCTTACCAACTTTCTGTAAACTCAAAGCTTAACACACTTACTAAGCCACAAACAATTTGATTTCTACTTAAGGTGGCCAAATTATTTGTGTAATAGAAAACTGAAAATCTAATATTAAAAATATGAAACTTCTAATATATTTTTATATTTAGTTATAGTTTCAGATATATATCATATTGGTATTCACTAATCTGGGAAGGGAAGGGCTACTGCAGCTTTACATGCAATTTATTAAAATGATTGTAAAATAGCTGTATAGTGTAAAATAAGAATGATTTTTAGATGAGATTGTTTTATCATGACATGTTATATATTTTTTGTAGGGGTCAAAGAAATGTTGATGGAAATCCTATATGATTTATAGTGTGTGAGAGCATCCATACAGGCTTCAGTGGTCTGGGAAGTCAAAACTGCTTTGCTCTAAGCTAGGAAGAGGGAGATGGAGACTGGCCCTGTGTGCAGTGGGGGTTGTTGAGGCTTTGACCCAATCAGATCCCAGGGGACTAATTCCCCACCTCCCATTCTAACCATCCTTATCCACCTTGACCCTGCCAGTGCAGGGTTAGTTTATTAAATCCCCCCTTGCGCTAACATACATAAAGAGGACAGAAAGGTGGCGCTTATGTAGTGGTAGGCACCATCTAGTAACAGGGTTATTGCAGCCTCCCCACAGGTTAACAGAAACAGAGGCTTTAGAAGTTTGGCAATAATATGAATAGAGGTACCAGCAATATGTAAATACTACAGAATCCCATAGGTCACCAATAATACACTAATCCTTCCCATCCTACAATAGTTTATTTCCAAGTAAAATGAGGACATGTTTGTTTTCTTTGAATGCTTTTTGAATGTTGTTATTTTCAGTATTTTGCAGAAATTATTTAATAAAAAAATGTAATCCTTTGCTTTTTAAATTCTCTCTAAAAGGGAATGTTCACTTTGTAATGGTTTAAATTGGTCTCAAAGTACTTTAAGATAATTGTAACCCAGCTGGATGTGAAATTCATGGTGCCTAAGAAATACCACTTGAATATTATCAATGACAGTGTTAAGTTTCAAAATGAGCTTCTCAAAAATAGATTATTGTACATTTATGGAATGTTATATGGTTAAAACCAGATAGCACATCACACAAAAAAATCTACTTTCAGTCCCAACCAGCTTGGCTCTCAAAAAAAATTACAGCTCCAAAAAAGAAAAAGATATATGTGCTTTGTTATTAACAGAAGGCAACAGACATTCATAAAACTACAATAGGAAGCTTTCTATTAAATGGATCAAGTGAGCCTTCGCTATGTAGGAAAGAAGAAAGCGATCCTCATTTTGATTGAGTAGATGTGAGAAAGCTATGGTACTGTTTGAGAGCAGCTTCGATTACTGTGTGTGGTTTCATACCATTCCAAACTATTTAGGTTTATAATAACTTCAGTGAGAGTTGGTGAAATGTCTACATGACTTACAACAGATCTTGAAAACTATCTTTAATTACTGGTAGGACAAAAAGGGACATTGTGGGTATTTTAGGCATTGACTTGGGATACTGTAGAAGCAGAAGTTAGAAGACAGGAAGCTTGGGGAAGGGAAGGGATTGTAAGCCTTCTCTTAGGAAAGACAAAACAACAAGTGAGACCACCCCAAAGGGACAAGGGACATGTTTAGTGTGTGCAGTCCTTGACGATGAGCGCAGGGTGAACTCTGGTGAGCATGTTAAGAAGCCAGCCTCCCCAGCACTGCAGAGTAGGGCCAGGGCAGGGATGGGACAGGACAAGCAATTCCAGTTGGCCATTGGTCTCAGTATGTGCCCCCTCTTCTGTACTGAGACCGTATCACCATGGGATGAACCGCGGTATTATGCTTGCTTCTGTCAACATTCAAGGATCATGGTAGCCTTCAGTGAGCTTTACATCTTGGTTGGTCACCCAACAATAAGCTGTAGTTGAATGTGTTTCTTATGTGCCTGGTTTCAGTGTTAGGTGAAATAAAAGTGTGCAAGAGACACTGCAAACCACTTCAGATGGAAGTTTCCTCACTTTCCAGACTTTCAGTCAGCCTGGTCCATCAGAGTTGATGACCAGGTTTTCAGGAAAGGGTTGGCTTCTGTCTAGAACATGCCTGAAAGGATTTTATTTTCTGATAAATGGCTGTATGAAAATACCCTTCTAAATAACCTGCTTAACTACATATAGATTTCAGTGTGTCAATATTCTATTTTGTATATTAAACAAATGCTATATAATGGGGACAAATCTATATTATACTGTGTATGGCATTATTAAGAAGCTTTTTCATTATTTTTTATCACAGTAATTTTTAAATGTGTAAAAATTAAAAACCAGTGACTCCTGTTTAAAAATAAAAGTTGTAGTTTTTTATTCATGCTGAATAACCTGTAGTTTAAAAACTGTCTTTTTACCTACACAGTGAAATGTCAGACTGTAAAATTTTGTGTGGAAATGTTTAACTTTTATTTTTCATTTAAATTTGCTGTTCTGGTATTACCAAACCACACATTTGTACTGAATTGGCAGTAAATGTTAGTCAGCCATTTACAGCAATGCCAAATATGGATAAACATCATAATAAAAATATCTGCTTTTTCATTATGTGACTCCCAACATGCTTTCATAGAACTTATATAGTTACAACTTTTTTTTCTCCTCATTCTACTGACAGCGAAGTTCCCACTTAGAACTCGATAAGGTGGACATTTAAATGCCAATGTGACAGCTAGTGTGTGCATAGGAAAATTACATTTGTTCAAAATGGGCTTAACCATGATGCCCAAAACTCTAAAAGATTATCTCACCCATGTCTTCAGTGCTCATGTGGTTATGATTTCACAGGATCTTAAATGCAGAAGAAACTGACTCCTGTAACTGCTTCAAATGTAACAGCCTTTATTCCAAAAGATGACATTTTTATGTAAACAAGTGTTATCTAAGAGAAAGATTAATAGCTTAATCTAAAATCCACACTTTCTCTTAGAAATGCAAATAAGTCAGCACAGCAAGTGTACAATACAGAAGATCAAGGCTGTGGAAGCGGAAAGTCATCTATCTATCAGTATCTTCTAAAACATGCTCATGTTTCCCATACCTTTCCATGGGATACTGCTATCATTATGATAAAAAAGCATTCTAACTTAAAAAGTACATTTTCTGTATCTATCTTATGTAGTCCAGCTATTGGCTGCAGGCCTACTATATAAATACAAGGACACTGGCAATGCTTAAGACACTTAAGACTTGGAGCTTGGGCAGTCCAGAATTACCTTTCTTGGTATCTTAAGGTGCAATACCAATACCCTAGATATGGCACCAGTGTCTAGTGTCCACACTTTTGCATGCACATGCAGAAGCCAGAAGGGAACACTGCTGTCTTCCTCTATCACTCTCTGCCTTATTCCCTAAGACAAGGTCTGTCAGTGACTCTGAAGCTCACTGGTTCAGCTAGACTGGCTGGCTAGTGAGCTCCCAGGACCTGCCTGACTGCCCTGCAGTGCTGGGGTTACAGGCATGTATGTCCACATCAGCTTGTTTACATGGATTCTGGGTATTCAAACTCAGATATCCATATGTCAGAGCAAGAGTTCTTACTAAGCCAAACCAACCACCCATACCCATTCTTGTTATACCATTTACTTTCAAGTATTAACCTGTTTTTGTAAAGTACCTTTACACATACTATACCAGTTAATCTTCACTCAATGAATAAATGAAGACAAGTAATGCTAGTAACTCAATTTCTAAAATTACAATGGAAACCTCTGTAATGAAGCCCTTTAGTTACCAGGTATCAGATAGCAAGTCTCTGGCATCCTCACAGACAACTGATATTTTCTGCTTTTCATTTGTCTACTGCTTCACTGAGCACTTACTATGTGTCAGATAACATGCTTCAATGTTATCTTACTTCATCTTTGCAGCCCTATAAAGTAGTACTCTTATTCTCACATATATGAGGGAAGTATGGCTTGAAAATCTGAGTAATCTTCTGAGGCTTACAAAGCTTGGAAATAGCTGAGGAGAACTTGACATAGACACCTGGCTCTGGAGTTCATGTTCTTAACCACTTCTGGGGACAGAGGAATGAGAAGCTCCTAAGTGCAGCGGCTGAGCCTTTGAGTCCTTGTCTTCTGACATGATCTCAATCCCATCCTCAGTTTCTTAATACTTTTCTTCTTGGAGATTGTAGTTGCAATCATTTCCCCTTCTTCTTCCTCCCTCAAACTCTCTCATGTACCATCCTTGCTCTTCTTCAAATTCATGGCCTCTTTTCTTCATTAACTATTGTTATATGCATGCATGTGTATGTACGAGCATGCATGTGTATGTACGAGCATGCATGTGTGAGCATTCCTAAATATATGTAAGTACAACCTTCTCAGTCTATACAATGGGACTTGTATGTATGTTTCCAGGGCTAATTATTTTTGGACTCCTGAGGAAATTGAGGGTGAAAAACTAACTCCAGAGAGATTTTAGAAAACCCTTTGGTTTTTCAGATATACAAGGAATCTGTATGTCATTTAACAGCACTCAAAGCAAATCAACAAACCTTCAGGCGAAATGATGCAAAAAGGTTACAGTTGAGCTGAGGAGGAAAGTTGTTTACAAATGGAAACTGTGATACAAGTCAAATCTGGTCCTATGTTAGCAACAACAAAAACACTATCTAAACCTTGGGTATAAAAAGCTTAAATTGAAAATGGAGAGCCAGCTAAACAGTTTTTGTACCAGCTAAACAGTTTGTAGACTTTGGCTCATCTTGTGAGTGACTCCCAACAGCTTTTATACTACCTTCTTGATGCTAAAAGTCTCTTGCCACCAGACTTCATCAAGCTTCCTGTTTCTTAGTTAAAATGAGATAGTACTTGGTAAGGGAAACATGCTACTCTGCTTGTTTCCAGACCTGAATCTCTAAACAAAGGAGTTCATCTAGACCACATCAGATGCCTACACAGTTGTACACTGTATCCAGCCCATTGGAGTAGGGCTATTTACACTCTGTTCATCCCATAGGCCATCATCAGGGTAATACAGTGGCAGAAGCACTAGGCAATAGCAGTCCCAGGGGGTTTAATGGCAGTGTCAGGAACAGAAGCCTGAAGAACTACAAAGAGAATCAGAAATTCAAGTTTTAAGTCAATTGTCTGTTTCCTTCCCTTTGTTTACCGGGACGGGACATGTTTCTGTTTTGTTTTGGATTCTTCCGTAGCCTCGTGTTCATAGCAAACTGTACACACTCCATAAGTAACAGTGACAAAAGAAGAACACACCCAGCCACTAATGCACCACCGTGTGCTGCTGTCTGCCATGTATACCCTGGATCTGATTTTTGTATTCTATCATTCTTTGGGAGAGGTGGGTGTGCACATGCCATGGTGCACCTGTGGAAGTCAGAGGACACCTTTCAGGAGTTGGTGCTCTCCTTCCACTGTGTGGGTTCCAGGGACCGAACTCAGGAGGTCCAGCTTGGCAGCCAGCACCTTTACCTGTTAAGCCATCATACTGGCCCGGATTTTCGGTTTTTGTTTCTGTCGCTCAAGCTGTTTTCATCTGTCCCTGTCATTTGCTCCTACATGTAGACACAAAAGAACTAAAACTGGGTGCTCCTCCAAAGCTTGTGGACACACATGCACAGCAGCACTGCTAACAGGAGCCAAGGGAAACAAGGCTCTGCCTCTTTTCTTCTGCTAATGTGGCTTTTCTCATAAAGTACTTCTGAATACATCTATGGGGTTCTGATGGAGACACAAATGGAGGACATGTAAAATCTCCAGGGTTATTTGAAAAGATTGCAAGGAATCAAGAAACAATGCCTTAAAGAGGGAAGGACAGTATTCATAAAAAGTAGAGGCTCACATGAGAACATGTTACAAATAACTTCTGATCAGTTTCATGACCCATTATGTTGGCAAGTATATAGCTGTTCCCACTCAGAGAGCACCAAGGCATTACTAAAAATTCATGAACACATGTCTGTCCTCAAGGAATTAACAATGAAGGCCCAATGACTTGCATTTCCACTTGTTTGTCTACTCCAATAAAAACATGTAACCATTCAATGACTTATATGTAAACGTGCATAGGAACAAAACAGCCAAAAATGAAAACAACCTAATGTCTGTCAGTTGATGAAAAGGTAAGCATACAATGGAATTATTATATGTGGCCACTAAAACTAAAATACAGATGCACTCTGTAAATACACATAAACCTTAAGAACTTGCTAAAAGACACAAAAGATTACATACGTGATTTTTCTTTGGTGCCCAGAAAAAGCAAATGTATACAACCAGAAAGTTATTCCATCGTTGCCTATTTCGGGGGATAGCATCAGGGCCATGAATGTGAATACTTGAAGAAACTTTTAGTGGTGATGGAGTGTTCTCAAACTGATTACAGTGATGACTACATAGCTTGGTGGATGCAAATTAATCCTGAAACTCTGCAGGCCACTTTATCAATCTCCTGATACGTTATATTCAACAGACAAAAATTAAAAGTTACACAAAACTCCAGGCTAGTATCCCTTATGAACACAGATGGCAAAAATTCTAAACAAAGTCTTTGCAATAAAATCTAATATAACTGAAAGGAGAGTACACCATGTCCAATAGGTTATCCCACAAATGCAGCGTTATATTAACATTAAAAATTAGCCGGGCGGTGGTGGCGCACGCCTTTAATCCCAGCACTCGGGAGGCAGAGCCAGGCGGATCTCTGTGAGTTCGAGGCCAGCCTGGACTACCAAGTGAGTTCCAGGAAAGGCGCAAAGCTACATAGAGAAACCCTGTCTCGAAAAACCAAAAAAAAAAAAAAAAAAAATCAGTCCAGGCTGGAAAAATAGCTCAGCAGGTAAAGGCACTTGGCACCAACCCTGCCCATCTGAGTTCCATGCCCAGGATCTATAGTAGGAGAGAATCAATTCCAGCCAGTTCTCCTCCAACCTCCACACATGCTAGCAGCAACATGCACATATTCACACACACAAAGTATAATGCACAATGGTAAATTAAAATGAGAAAACTGGTTAAATGGATATAAATATTTTATGAAATGCAACATTTAATTTTTTACAGGCATTGGGTGAATATAAAGACCTCCTCAACCTTCTGAAAAGACACCTACCAAAAGATATCTCTCAGCATCATGCTCAATGGAAAAAGATAACATTTTCCTCTTAAGATCAGCAACAAAATATGTACTCTTACCACTTCCATTCAAATATTACATGTGAGGGCTGTAGACTATGTAATAAGGTAAGAAATAGGAATAAAAGACATCTAAATCACAAAGGAAAAACCAAGGATCATTATTTGTATAATCATTTAAGTAGAAATTCTTATGACATCTTAAAGGATACTATTAAATTTCAAAAGGTAGAAGAGAATGACCATCTGACCTACTATTCCATTTGTAGGTAGATATCCAAAAGAACTGAAAACATCTGCCCAAGCAAGCATGTGCATATTTATGCATGGCAGCATTCCTAACAATAGTCAAAAGGTAGAAACATTCCAAATGTCCCTCAAGGGGATGAATGGATAAAGAAGTCACAGCACATACAAGCAATATGCTGTTACTCAGCCTGGGAA